TTTTACAAGCTGCAAAGAAAAGGAATCTTAATATTTACTGACAATGTTGTCACGCTGTATTCCTCTGTATACTGTTATATTTGTTTGCTCTGTATACACGATCGTGGAAAAGAGTCCCGTCTCTGTTGGTCTTCCTGAGGTTTCTTCCTTTTTTATCTGGTGAAGGATTTTTTCCAAGAGATTGTCAGATAGTATGCTGGTAAAGATTACCTAGACTTGTTGGCGCCAATACAACTGCCACTGCATATTGATTCTAGACAAATACCTGCCTTGTAGAGCATATCCATTAGTCAGCAGCACAACCATTAATTTAGTTTATTTTGTTCCACTTTAACTGGACATTACATTTATTTTATTTTTCTGCAAGTCAAGTGGTGGAAGTACTCATATCATTTACCTAAAGTAAAGGCAGCAATACCACAGTGTAAAAATACTTTGTTACAAGTCCTTCCTTAAAAATGTTACTTAAGTACAAAAATAATAGCATAAAACAAAGTCAAGTACCAAAAGTAAAAGCACTCATTATGCAGAATGGCACAATTCACATGAATGCATGTCATATTATTGGATTATAATTATTGTGTATACAATTTATTGTATTATTGTGTACATCACATTTAATGTTGCAGCTGGTAAAGGTGGACCTAATGTTAACTACGTAATATATTTGAAGGACATTGCATACTACTGGGTAGCTTGTGATTTTTCCACCAAGGATCAATAAAATCTTATGAGTAGTGAGTGCATAGTACTGTATTTCCTCTGGGTTGTAGAGAAGTCAAAGTATTTATTGGAAAATGGAAACACTCAAGTATCATACAGCTACCTCAAAACTGTACCTAAGTACAGTATTTGGGTAAATGTACTTGGTTACTTTCCACCTCTGATAGGAGTCATCTAATTTATTTCACCTTTCTACCCACGCATGTGTGTGTTCCTCAGCGAAATAATTTGTAGTTTATGTTGATCTTTTTTTCCTGGAGAATTTTCTCACATCTTTAAACAAGAGCACAGGAGAGCAGAGTCTCCACATGTTTATCTGTATCTATTTGTTGGTTGCCTGAATCTGATCCTCCCAAGAGGAAGGGGGAAAAACTTCTTCAAAGAGAAAAGAGAGAGTGATCCTGCTCTGACACAGAGGTTTGAGCTGGGATTGTGGGTTGATTCCCAGCCCAATCAGCTTGTGGTTTTCACAGTCTCTAAAATGTAGTTTCCCCTCAGTCAGCCTCTTCAAAGCCCCCATCATCTCTCTCTCTCCCTCTGTCCCTCTCACCATTTTTCTCAACTCAAACACAATGCAGTTTAGTGACAAAATGAGTAGTGTCACACAAAGATGTAAATTTTATAAGAGCGGAGTGTTTATGATATTGTAATTCCATAGGTTTTTCTTACGGGGCATGAATGCATTTTTAACAAATGAGATAAAATAATCTATAAGCACCATGTTGTGCATACAAATCTGTCTTTCTTTAGACGGGACAGAACTACTAGCTGGTTCATTTTCAAAGAGAAGACCATACATGGCCTCCTGTGATACATATAGCTGTTGCCTGTGTTGTAGCGAGAAGCTGACGTAAAGCTGTGTCGTCTGACTCTGACATTCCTCAGGTCAGCTGGTGAGACTAGAGGACTGCTCACCCTTGCAATGTGGTAAACTGATATCTGAAGTTGTGGCTGAACCCCAATGTCAAGGTGAGGGGTTGTTGCCCTTTGAATTATTTCATATGTTTGGAGTCTAAGTTATATTACCCCTGAGGATTTGTGACCTATTATTGTTTAAGGTTTGTCTTGTCTTTCCTTTGGTGGTTATTTGGGTATGTGAGCTCATAACATCACAGGTTTCCAGATATAATCCTCAATACAAAGAGCCCAGATTAGATCGATAAGTGTCAAATCTATGTGCAGTCTGAGTTTCTATAAGGTTATGACACTGTTTCAGTCTACCAGAGGTTAATTTAGTCCCAGTTTGTGTCTCTCATGTATTACCACTATATTTGGGTTACAGAGCAACTGTTTTGCTGAGAAATAGCAAGTATTTGGAAAAAAAGCAAAAAGAGACCTTTCAGTGGTGTTAAATGGCCGTTGCTGAATACTGTGTAGCTCTGTGACTCTAATGTAATGGTGATGCATGAGAGGCACAAACTGTGGCTAAGGTTATTGTTGTACAAGTATTTCAAAGCAGCCGTTTCCAAGCTGTCATCTTAATTGTGATGAATCAAGATAATACCACTTTCCTCCTCTACTCATCTTAATCCTTCTGTTTTACTCCCACCCCTCCCTTGAAGATCAGCCTCCTTTCACCCCCTCCAGCTCCCCACCCCACTGCCGACCCTTCTCTCCATGTCTCTCTCCTCCCTCCTACCTTTTAAGTCAGCGAGGGGAAGTGGGGATATTGGAAAGTGAGATGGGAGAATGCTCAAACTGGAGCTTGTTTTCATTTCATGTTTAATTTCCTGACGCCTAAGCCCTTGGCTTTCCACAGCTAACCTCTCTGACCTTTTGGAGGCATACAGACCAGAGCAGAGGACCAGGCATAGACATGCACACAGAAAACACACAAATTTACATACCATGTTATATAAAAAGAAAATCCAAAGCCAGTCCCAAACAAATGCATTCTTTAAACCTGGATGTTCTCTCAAACTTTCTGAAACCCTTTATAAACAAGTAAGCAGTGTCTGAGCAACGTATATGCCACTTGTCACGATTTCGGGTACTGAGTGTGTCATGTTTCACAGAGGGTTTGCTCTACATAGCTGTGCCTTTGAACTGCAGTAAGGAATGAGACCCAAGCCAAATAGTTTGTCAGAGGGATCATTCAGGGAACGTTATGAAGTCAGATGTGTCCTTTTCTGCTCCATGTCTCCTGTTCCCCAACTTATGAATGTCTAAGTTTGTTAGTAAGGATAGCTAGCGGTGGCTTTGCACAAGCAGAATCCCAATTAAGAAATAATTTTTATTGTTTCTCATAAGGAGCAACAGCGACCCATCCTTCTACTCTATGATATCCAAATGTATATGTACCAACTGCAAACACTCATCACCCTTAGATCTAGCAGACATCTGCAAGGAAGGTGTCTCAGAGCTCTTGGAGCTCAAAGTGCTTGGCAGTGATACAGTAATTGCTAAAGACACTGACAGCAGAAAGCAGCTTACAGAGCCATTAAAGAGCTTTATTTATGCTCCGGAGGCAACGGGCAGAGAGAGGAAGAGGGAGAGAGGGAGGGAACAGCTCAAAAAGTAGCTTTGAAGTCCAGCCATCTCACCTCATCGCTGTCATGCCAGACCACTGCAATTGATAGAGTGCCTGAGCAGTCACTCATACTTGGCCTCCTCTTCCATAAAAAGTAGGCAGTGTGGTGAAGTTCACGTCTGAGGTTGCGAGCCTATTGTACTAAATACACTAGTGGCAGGAGAAGTCATAGAGGTGATTATGGAGAACTGCAGCCGTGTTTATGAAGACGTTCATCATCTAACTAAGGCTGAAGCTGTAGGAACTTGACATTGGCATTTTGGTGGAAAACATCTGTACTCTGGATTTCAATGGCTGTTATTTCAGAGATGAAAAGGATTCTCCGATCGTTTGCCAAGCATCAAGTGCCCCTTGGTATTCAACAATTGGATATCCCTGGACTTTGTCTTGATGGACCTTCAGTTGAAATTGTGGGGTTTAGTGTTGATTGCGTGCATATTTAGGGTTTGATTTTAGAAGCATGGGTCAAATCTCACAGTGAGTCAACAGAGTCTGCTGTGTGCCTGTCAGATGAGGAAGTTAATTATATTCATCTGGGGGATAGATGGGTCTGTGTGAACACGGCATGAATGTGCTTATTTTACTGTACTACCACAAGAACCCGGCCAGGTTCTCTGTCCCTGACTATGTCTTGGACCACGCATGGAAATTGAAACTGGCATCTCAAAGTGTTTTTTATATCCTTGCCAAATAGCTTTGATGACTTTTCTTGTTTTCCATGTGTTTTCCCTTCCTGCTTCCAGAGCTGTGCAATGAAGTAGTTTGAACATGGCAGTGCTGGGGAGAAACCCTTGGCCTCTGACCTTTCTGCAGAGTCTGCTGCATGTAAAAGCTAAGAGCAGAGTATTCCCTTGTTCCACCCATCCCACTCTGATCTAAAACTGGCAGGCAGAAAGAGAGATGGAGAACAATAGGCCTTGCTGTCTGCTGTTCCAAACAATCTTTGTCAACATGCCAGTCTTAACTCTCCCAGCTCCCTCTGTCACATCCCTGAGTGATTATTAGCATGCAAACATGGATGATTGCACCAGTACAGCACAGCTCAGAGCTCATGGAGACTGTCCTCCCAAGAAGGAATGGCAGCAAGTGCCCCACAACAACATGAGTTTACAAGCCACAAAACCCTTTGATGGCTGAAGTCACTGTAGGGAGGAGGTCAGAACGGATGGGTGGGTCAACAAAACATTAGACTTACTGTAAATGATCATTTATTGTGACGACTCTACCATATGATGATGCTGTAGTATGTGCAATGTTCACCAGAGCACGTTATGTAAATTGCCTGAACTGGGAAACTTTTGTGTCCTGAGCCGTCTTCAGTTTCTTCTATCTGCCAAATACAAAAGTCAAAAAGTCTTTTCAATTGTTTGTTTTTTTAAGTATGATCTTGCTCGTTCCCAAACCAAAACCAAGTGTTTATTATTGTAACCGTGACAACAAAGCTTCCCTAACCTTAAGTAGTCAGTTTACTCCAAACCACAATGTTTTGCTTTCATTTTACCAGTAGGTCACAGAGAGACAGACAGGAAATGGGGACAGAGTGAGAGAGAGGGGGCAGCCCATGACAAATGTCCGTAGCCAGACCCGAACCGCAGACACTACACACACAGGATGCGTACATACTGTACACATTGTCCGCTAAAACCACTTGGCTATCTCAGTTTTTCCATGTGTAACCTGGCGTTATTCCTTCATGCTCACCTGCACACGAGCCTCTGTCAGGTCTGTCCTCAGTGCCAGCTGCTCACGGGCATAAACATCTGGGTAGTGCGTCTTCTGGAAAACTTTCTCCAACTCCTCAAGCTGGTAGCTGGTGAAAGTGGTGCGATTGCGTCTCTTCTTGCCTTTGTTGCTCTCAGCTTCGCTTTTGTCCAGAGGGCTGGAAAGGTCCGAGCCTGGTCGCTCGCTTGGGCCCTTCACGTCAGGCTCCTTTAGGTTCAGGTAGCTGCCTTCCATCCCAGGAGGGTCAACACTGGGGGGCAACTCGGACTCTGTCAGGCCGCTGTTGTCTTTGCCTGTATGTATGACATTAACACGTGGACAAAAAGAAATGTGGAAGGTCATGGTCTATTATATTTTCTTCTTTTAGGGAAATGCCACCAATTGGACACATGGAGTTTAGTTTATACTATGCAAACTATTCAGACTACGAAAAGAGTTGTGTGATGTTTACTATTCTATAACAATTTTGTGTCTGCATTACAAAATGAAGATATGGGATTGGAAAGAAGTGGGTGTAATGAAATGTAGGATTAAGGTTTTTTTTAGAACTTGACATTTGCTACAAATATAAAATCATGATATCTCAGCTTCTGCTCCATCAGTTTTGACCATTCAGGTTTTTATATTTATTATTATTATATCTCACATTAAATCCCAGGAGTATTGGAGTAACCCTTTAATCCTATGAAGTGACAACACTGCTAAAATAACCTTATAAAATATACAGGGGATTTCAAGGTTTCTATTACTTTTGGTTATAACAACACATTTAAGCAATTTTAGTTTTGGCTGTGCCATTTTAACAGTTTTCATGTGAAGCATGTAAAATTAGAAGCACCTTCACAATTGTGCAGTTTTTCATATAATACACACCCTATTCATACTGTGATACTATTTTCAAACAAGTTATAATATCCAACTTTCTTACTAAGATATGGCTGAATAAACTCCCGGTGCTTCACATTCATGTTAGTCAGTGTGTCTGCTCATCATCACATTACAACATTCACATAAAATGACATTTACTGTAAGCTCACATCACTTCTGTCATGTTTTTTAGGCTATAAAGGCCTTGTCTGGATGCAGCAAGTCTAAAAGTAGTCTTTTTCTGTTTGAAAGGTATGTCACTACACATTGACATGACCTGTGACACAACCCCTGAAGCCCAATCCCTAACATCCCTCAATCACACCACCTGAAATCCGAGCCACGCAAAAACCTATTTCCTTTTGCGCCGTGTATAGTGGCCCTTGTGTATAGGGACAACTGTGCTTATCCCACAGCCTGGCCCCTCAGATGTAAACAACATTGTGTTTGTCACCTTCCATTTCGAAAGCATCCATTTTGTGACAGACTTTGCTCTGTTCCTGTCAGCGCATGCTAGCCTTTTTGTTTCCCTTTAGAAGATGAAGAAAGCTGTCCTTTCTCCTTCAATAAACAAACAGCCATGTGAATAAATAAGCTGAAGGGCTCTGGTTGTAGGTCAGTGAGAATAGTGTGCTCTGTCAGCGTCTCTGTTTGTCTTTCCTACAAATGGGCACCATGTCGTAGTGGTATTGGTCTGAGACCACCTCGTAATGGTGTCCTCCATGTACAGGCTTGTTAGTCTGGTGCAACACAAGCATTTCCTTAGTCCAGAGAAATTTGTCTCTGAATTAGATCGAGTTGAGGATGATTAACATAATAGTTATGTACTTATGTGCATGCGTTTTACTTTGTCACGTTGCATTTTTGTTGAGTGATGTCAGTAATGGCCTCCTGTCATTCTCAGAAAGTCAGTGCACTGGGTGAAAGAGAGTTGACACCTTGTGGCACTAGTGACTCTGAACCAGTGTTTAGTGGTTTGTGAGATGACTGAATAGTTTTAGAGTGATGAAACTAGGCGGTGGTTGTCTGCAACATGCATGTTTATTTTCATGGATTAGTATGGCGCTGGCTAGAGCGTCCCACGATGAGATGTCAATAGTCATCCCTTGAAACTGCAGCAGCTCTCCCACACTCTCCAGCTCAGAGTTGCCTCGATCCTAATGGAACAACACCGCTCGCCCAGCTGGAGTTCACGACCTCGTATCACTGTGGCCCACCTGTCAGACTCTCTTAGAGTCTCCATGCAGACAGATGTTCTGACATCACCAACCCCTGCTCTGGCCTCTTATGCTCAAGCACTATGCAGTATTTTCATTTTACCCCTGGGCAGGAACATGGCTGCAATGTTAAAAAAGTAAGACGGGTCAACTCCAGGTTCCTGCTTGCTGTTAGCATCCGTGTGCAAAAATGCAGTTATGCCCCTGAGCAAGGTACATGTATACCCTGTTAGGCAAGGGTGCACATATGAGGGCATGGGAAACTGGTGATGGTTCAGCCCTATACAGAACTGTATCACCAACATTTTCACTGGAGTCTGCACTAACTTGAACAGTTCAACCCTAAAGGAATAGTTCAATATTTTGGAAAATGTGCTTATTTACTTTCTTACCCAGCTAAGATCAATGCAACCTGTTTGTCTGTATGATAAATATGTTACTGTGAGCAGCCAGTGAACTTAGAAACAACTAGCCTGGCTCTCTCCTAAATGATCAAAATCTGCCAAGCAGCACCTCTTAATCAGAGTACAAAAAGAACAGTTTGCTGTTTTATAGGTTATGTGCTGAACTCATTTAAGTTTTGAAAAAGCAGGAAGGTGCAGGTGCCCGCTGACACATAATCCCCAGAGGTTAGCTGTTGTCCTTTGTTTTCAGTTTTTGTGTGAAGCTGCCGACTGTAGCTTCAGAGTCTTTTCATCGAACTCTTGGCAAGAAAAAAAAAAAGTACCAACATGTCAAACTTTTGTTTTAAAAATCATAGCCTTGTATTGATGAATATCACCACAATTTACACTGGAGTAATTAGAAAATCTCTGCTTTAATCAACATCTTTTCTCTGTCTAGTCCTCCAAACTCTCATTTGTATGTCATGCTATCCACACAGAATCCTTTGCCACAAACATCTTCCAGTATTCCCACATGTCTCTTCTGCACATTGTTCTGGAGAACACAGCCATCACACATTGCTTTCTTTTGGGAGCCAAGATTCCATTCTATTGGCTCCAGTATTTTTTGGCATTCAGAGGAATGTGTTTTTATCTGTCGTTCTCATTTCAGTATTCATAAATGTATATGTAAATGCTCCAAATACAGTGGGCTGATTCTGCCATTTGCCCGATTTACTCTGTGACAAGCAGCAGACCTCTTCATTTAGGCAAGGTCAGATGTTTACTAGGGTCAGCAATTTAATCACTGCTGAAAACAGAAAGAAAACATCAAAGTGTAATTTAACTGGTTGTAAAGCAACAGGGCACCCTCTTGGTTTTTATGGAATGGGACAGGGAGGGTCAAGTGAAGCCAAATAAAAGAAACACTATAAATTAGTAACCTGGGGAAGGGTTAATGACCAAACACTAAATAGAGAAGGGAATGCTTTTAAACAGAGTGCTCTTAAATGTTCTCTCAGAGCTGACAGCATTCTGCCACAATGGCTCTCCACTTATCACACCTTATATGGACTAAATAGAGTCAAATATTCCATCGCTTTGGTCGTCACCAGGTGACTTTTAATTTTACATTCACTGTTGGCTCATAGACGTGCTCTGGGCTGGATTGTTTTTCCCCACAGCACAGTCTAAGGCCTGATGTTGACTGTCGTTTCCTCATTGGAAGGGAGGCTCCCAGATGTTCCTGAGGAGAGATCTATGCCAGTGGCTCATGTAGGAATGCAGATTCCCTGGGAAAGCAAAAATTCTTTCTGTTCTGCCTCAGCTCCTGATGAAATGACACAATCGTGAATTTACCGCTGTCACAATATCTTGGGCCATGGCTGTCACAAACTCGTATCAAAGTACAACAAAGAGTTTAGGATTTTATGGGTCTTGATAAAAACCTATGTTGGGAAAATCTTTAGTTTGAAATTGCAGTGAAATGCATGAACCAAAATTACAAGTTACACACTCATCATGTCATTTTTAAGTGCAGAGAGATGCTCATCCTCAAAGCATCAACTTCTTGTGGTCAAGTTAGAGTTAAGTGGTTATTCTAAACTCATTGATACAGTGATTGTATTGTGTGTACATTAAGTAAGATGTGGAACTTCAAATGAGAATTGAATTTAAATTAATTGTGATTATAAATGATCAGGCAATCACTCCTCTGTCACCGCTTCCTGTGTTCTGGTAGTCCAGTATAATAAAGAAGGCTTGTAGTGTAGCCATCGTCACCTGGTGATGAATTGGGTTACTTTTCACCATTGGCTTTTATTTAAAAAAAAAAAATCAGATGAGCAAAATGAGCTTCTCACTGCTGAAAGAAAACTGAGAAGAAACAAGAGCAGTCAGAAAGCGCACGTACCTCCAGCAAGGCACAACATTTACTCACGTAAATGGGTCCCTTGTGGAAAATAGGATCCAAAACACACAGTGTGTCCTAAAATACTTGATCTGGATCAGGTCTGGATCATCTTTTAGCATATGAAGACGCAACCCATGACTGTACAACAAAACGACAGTCCTCAGTGCAATACCTTGTAACTATACTTTTGTATATATCTGTATGGAAACCTGCATCTAAATTGCGTGTGTGTGTATATAATATATATTTTTATAAGTACTTTTTTTTTTTTTTTGCTTCTTTTTTGTACATTCTTTTTCTTTTCTTGTTCTCTGTCTTCTCTTATTTGCCTGTTTGCTCATTGCTTTATGGAAGAACATTGTCTGAGTCACATTCCTCATGTGTCCAAACACACCTGTTCAGTAAAGCTGATTCTGATTCTAAATTGGGTTTTCAGTTTTAACTTTAATTGGCAGTGAGAGCTGGATGAAATTTGCTACGGTAATAGACATTGCCACCATAACATAGGTGTGTCAAATTTGAAACAAAAAATAATTTTGATAACTTTTGATGGAGATATGATATATATACTTTTTAAAAATATTTTGCACATGTTAAAGATGGGATTTTTTTTTTGTTCTTTTTTTTTTTTACCTTGACCTATGACCTTTTCAGCCAAAATCCAATCACTCCACTCCACTGGTTGGTCCCCACCAGTGTCTCTACAAAGTATCCTGTTGATCCATCTAGCCGTAATCCATAATCCTGCTAACAAACACATGGAACTAAAAACATAACCTCCTTGGCAGAGGTAACTGTTTGTAATCATTGACCTAAAAGTGATATCATACTTTTGCCTCACTCAGTAGTTTTCCATTTGTATTGTGACTTGTCCGGCATTAAGTTTTTTTTTTTTTAGATACTGTAGTACTGTGTGGCCAGACTTGCATTATTCACCTGTTACTGAGGTTTAAATGTAAATTACAGCCCCAGTTATAAAAACTGAGGAATTAAAGGTAAAGATCCAGCACCAGCCTCACTAATGGTGCAGTTAAAAATGCATGGCAACTGGTGAAAAGTTCCAAATAATTTTTATAATCCAGCTTCCATGCACATCTCAGGCAGGAGATGGGGAGTCATTCACCTTCCCTGCACGCGAGGTGCCTGAGAGTAAAGGCCAAAACGAGCCATGTTAGCTGCACAACAGCATGAGGAAAAAATACATTTGACTGGTGATAACTGTAATTGAATTTTGAGAAAAATAATACAGCAAGTTCTTAGTTACCTATGTGTAAGCTGTCATTTCATTTCATGGTAGGTATGTTGCTGCTGCTTTACCTCCTGAGTCACACATTTTTATAAGCCATTACATTTAACTGGTCAGGACTTCAGCCTTTCAACATTCCCTCATTACACATTCTAATGTATTCTGGTTCACAGACACGTGTTAGCATGGTCACGGGTGTCACTCTGGCATTTGCCTATTGCTAACATTGACCAAATGTGTTAGTCATCAGCACATGCGTATCCTGTGACATCACTTCCCCGAGCCTTTTAACATGTATTTATAGTACTATATTTTGACAGGGTGCTTTTAAAATGCTGCCAGGACTTGTTTTGCTTTGCATACACTGAGAAATATGCTTTACATCTCGTGTGATGCTTTGACATCCCACTGACGGGAGGAGGGGTTGTTTGAAAGTACAAAGATTTACCATGCTGTATTTTATCAGTGTTATAATTTGACTCATGGTTACTTTGTGAAATGACAAAGATGATGAGGCACAAACGGCCTTCAGCGAGAAACCGAGTCACCACTAGCACTAGTATATCAGCAATGCAGCCCTATAAACTGATTTTTCAGCTTGAGCCATAGCCCCAGTTACTCTCTTTTAAATTTGTAAAGGACGTGTGAGAATGTTTTGCACATAGGCTTCACTTTCCAAAACTTTATACAGCAGTCAGCCTTTATTAAAGGTAAAACCTGAACTTAATTTAAATTATGAAAGAAAAATACATGCAAAGCCACAGTTCAGTAAAGTTACAAGCATGTAAACAGTCACACGTGTGCAGCTTTCCCAGAAACCCTCTCATTTCTCCTGAGTCTCTCAAATCATTACCCAATCTTGATGTCCATTTCTGACTCGTTGCTTATTTGTACAAGGTATTGTTGAATCGGGGTTATGTAAACCAGTCTCACTTTGTCATCTCAGGGACTCTCTGCAGCTTTGGAGATCTGATGTTTGGGGAGTATGAATAATAACTATAGGAGCCACTAATGCACATCTGCCTTAGATTAATGCAGACCTCTCCTGCAGTGCTGATCTGCATTCCTCTGTGCGCCATCAGCTCCGGGGGTTTTATTTCATTTATCGCTGTGTGAGCAGGTAGGCGGCTCCATCCCTGTCTCCGCTGTGGGACAGTCTCACTGATTAATATGCACTTAAATGAGCACACCCGCCAGCCTGAGCCACTTCTGTGCAGAAGCATGTTGGCTCATTCTTTCAGTGTCAATATTGTCTATTAATGAATATGATTTAAAGATCAGCTTGACTGAAAAACACTATTCTAAGATTTTAGAGAATAAACTAAAAATGTGGAATAGTTGAATATTATTTTCTGAATCCCTTTAAAGATTATACATTTTAATAATGTACCTGTATCATGGTAAAATCAGTGGCATTAGGAAAAAATGGTTAGCCAAAATGTTTTGATGTGGAAAATGAGGTGTGTATTATGCAGAATATGCAAAAATATGTAACATTATAATACTTAATTTTACCAGAATCTACTCAGTAAACCCACATTTTTTGCTTCTCATGATCATATGTTAAATGTAAAAATTAACATATCAAGTTTAGCAGATGGCAAAGACCTTTCGCCGTATTTTAGTGCATCTAAATGCTGTTTTGCATGTAAGGTCCTCTGTTGCAGCTGAGTTTGCCACACAGAAAACTCCCTTTGGGTTTGAGATGACTTTTGTCATCATGATGGAGATAAAGCATCATCATTGAGCAATATATCTCCCATTGAGGACCACACATAACAGGGCAAGCCTGTTGATGCCTGAGGCTTTGGCAAGACCCCAAAGTATCCTCCCCAGAGCCAGGATGCCTTCATCTGGCTGCATCATTTTCAGTAATAACATTGCACAGCTCTCCTCAAGGGAGGCTTGTTGCATTTAATGATGGCGCTTAAACGGTTATGTCCGTGTACTTGCCAGATCATTTGAGTGCAGGGGTGCTCCAATCTGTGGGAGCCATTGCTCCCAGACTCTGGAAAAAGTGACACTTCAGCCTAAAATAAAGCGTGACTACAGTCTTTCTCAGGAAAACAGATTACTTTGCACATTGCTGATGTATTTTGACACCGTGTGGTACTGTAGAAAAAATGGTTTTACTGCAAACCTAAATGTACTTGCTCACACAGAGCAGAATTGGGGCAGTTTAATTTTATTTGTTACTCCTAATAGTTAAACATAAGCTGCTTACACGCAATTAAGCATTAAATTAGATTAAATATACCTTAAGGTCGGGATAAGCTTCGATCAACATACGCCATTACAACATGTGTTTTTTTTAAAGGCTGGGCTGAAAATATATAGGCGCCAACGACAAAATAATATTCTTTAAATGTGCATTTTTAAGTAAACTATAATATGCAATTATTATGTGAAGTTCATTGTTGTATTTCCAGGATTCTGTCCTACCCTGTTGTCACACACTTAGCTGAGTCCATTTAAGAGGATTCTCTGTATTTTAACCGCCCACGTCTCATAAAAGGCCCAGTAAAACGGATTGCTTTCTTTAGACGCCTTTAAAATCAATTCGTTGTGCAACGAATTGTCGGGTTACACTGCAAAGTTGTAAAACTTTCTTTTTAAATTGTTGTTCCTCCGGATGTCAGACTTTAAATCAGCTTTATTATGGTCCACAGTCGGAGCTTGGCCTAAATGGGACTGTAGTCTGGCTGTGGAGGGGCAGAGCTGCGCCACTTTAGTTTATTTATCATTAAAGAATGATGTGCTGAAAATAAAAATAACGGAAGTCGCCTTAGAATTAGTCTCACCATGGCCCTGTGGGTGGCCTGGCTTGTTGGTGATATTTGAACATTAAAATCTCCAATTCATGACGTGCTCGTAATTGGTAAAGAGGACTCTGTGTGGACAATAACAGTGCACGATGAAAGCGGTGCAGCGGCGTTAGCAGGGATGAAATTAAATTTAGTGATGCGGGGGTATACAAGGGGAAACCATGATTTACAGCCATTTAACATTATTAGGAGAATAACCACAAAAAGGAAAACATCGATTTAAAGCCCTCTCAGTCAAAGCGCGCACGTCGTGTGTTGGAAATAACCTGCCAAACGCAATGCTGTAATTATGGCTCACCTTAAAACGCTTAACCCCACTCTGGATAATATTCAGTCTGATAGTTAAACTACTCACTGCGTGATTCTTGGTTTTTCTAAAGGTTCTGGGGGTTTTACGCTGAGGTGCGCCCAAAATGCCAAGTGCCACTTTCTGTTAGAAGCAGCTACACACACGGTCTGTTCGGTACAAGCAGAATGAGGCTGTGGCTGAGCTGCTGAGGTTTCTCTCTCTCTTCATCTTTGCCCTTCACTCGCAGACTTTCAGATACTGCATTTGACATTACAATACATTTCCGTTATTGCTTGCAAATGCCCCATCTTGTCACGCGCGTGCGTTAAATTCGGGGCCAATATTTTCCCGTCATATCGTCACTTTTTCGTGTGTCGGTGTGCACTCACCATAGCAGGGAATGAGCGTCCCGTTGTGTTCGCTGTCCGGACGCAGCTTGCTCCCTTCTGGTGGAGTTACGCACGTCGGCCGCTGCATGAAGAGCTGGTATTTGTTGAAAGCTCCCTCCTCAGCGCCATCCAATGACTGGCACTCCGGCTGGAAAGGGCTCCTGGACTTCTCTCCGTAAGCCTGCCCTTTACCCGGAATGAACGTGGGGCTGTATTTGGTTTCAGCGGTCTGGAAAGTCCTGAACGGGTTCGCCTGGTGGTCTCTGCCTTGCGCGTTAGACGGGCTATAATATGAATCCATCGATGTCATTTCGCAGTATGAGACGCACGTATCTGCGTTCATACCTAAAGTGTTATAATAAAAAATCTACACGGTTCTTCTTTCCCTCCCCTTCTCTACACAGTAGATATTCTCCTCAAATTCTCACGCACTGACAGCTCCCTGGCGCGCTCATGCACACACACACACGCACACACTGGTGCATCTGGCACTGGTTAAAAATGAAGCTGATGTTTTCCAGAGACTTCGGACTGAACAAATGCTAAAAGCCCCCTGAAGGTTTGTCGGGGTAAAGAGAAATGCCTTGCTCAAACTGGTCGGTAGCCTACAGTGTATCTGTCACACACACGCACACACACACACACGCACACACATCAGTCCGACCTTCAGCCTCCACATACATCTGAAGTAGCCTAGGCCCACACCGAGCTGCAGCCTGCACTATTATACAGCCAGGACTGGGAGGTCAAGCTCAGAAGGAGGAAAGTGGGGGTTTTACCAAACACATGCCATTAATGTAATTAGAGGATGAATATAATGACTTTGACTCCTGCTGTAGAACAACCTCCAACTTTTTAAAAGTAATTTATAGGCATTTTAATAGCGTTGTTTCTATTTGTGTCAGTCACACTTGCTTATTAGACTAACAGGTGTTTGTCAAAATCACATTTGTGTTTGCGCAGTTTTTTAAAGTGAAGTGTAAATATAGCGCACGGATCACGCAGGAGTTTGGAGCGCCTTAAGTCAGCCGACGATAAACATGACGTTTATCTAAATATTTCCTTGGTGTATTTGTTTTAGAGATCTGTATTAAACCAAACAACATTATCCGTTTGACCGGGAACTGACGTGAGAGGTCAGAGTCGGTCATTGCGGATAATGACGGAGAATTAGAGCTCATCATCACAAACAGCTTTCAGCACTGCCTCCTGAAAACGGGCTACTCTCCTTAATATTGAATTAATTACAGCCTAAACCATTAAGCCTGTGATGGCACTGAGATACATGGCTTCCCATGACTAGCACTTGGTAAGGGACGCGGTTTCAAGGAAACCTGGGCCTTCAGAAGCCCTCTCAAATCAGCTCCTTTATTAGGATATTATCGAGATTTATAGGTAATGGTTTAATATGACCTAACATCAATTTGATTAAATGAGAAAAACATATCTGACACAAGGGAAGCTTTTAATTAGTAGGCCTACAAGGCAATACATTTATATCTGGACTGAGTCCTAGACTATAACACTTGTACTTTATTTGTCATTTTAATTATAACGAAATGTTACGTATCCCTCACAGATTAGGAGCAATAATTAATCGGAGATGGCTAATTAAGGAAGAAGAGGAGGCTATTATTATTATTATTATTAAGCTATAATAATAGTTTAAAGGAATGAAACGAAATAATTATTCCCGTGTCTTAAATTGGATTAATTCAGTATAAACGCTAAAACTCGCTTCGCTTTTTCTTTTTTCTGTCTTCTTTCGTGACTTATAACATGAAGTCGGCCTCATCTAAACATCTCGTGCAGGAGGAGGTTTACATTTCTTAAAAACAAAAGGTAAAAATGAACCACAAGCGTTAAACATAATAAGGTTTATATTAAGCTGCAGGGTGGTTTGTAATCCTCCCCAGATGCAGTCATTTTCAGTGGGTCTATTTATTAGATGCATTGCGGTAAAGAGCTCGCATTTTGCAATTAGACATTTTAATTTCTGGGTTGCTGATCTGGGCTCAGTTCACGTCCTGTCTCTGCAGCGCAGGGACCAGTTCTCTGCCGTTATTCGTTAACGAGACATTTTTAGTTATTTGTTTTTTATGTTTCTGTATTTAATGTGGGAATAAATGAAAGCTGTGTGATCCGTGTGTTGTCGCGCTCAGTCCTGCCGTTTATTTATTAATGTCTCATATCGCGACAATATATTTTTCAACACATCTGGAAGCTTTTTGACGTCGACCACGTATCAGCATCATTATCCACAAAATGACTTGACACAAATATGGACACAAGAGAAACATGTAGGCTGTTTTCTTTGTATAATTCACCTTGTTTTCAAGGGCATTTTGTATAGCCTACATTTATATTTGTTATAATAGCAAATGAACATTTAAATCTCATTTAGTGTGGTTTATAATATTTTCTCAGTCTTATTAATAATTTTATCAACCATCAGTATATAGGTGAAGAGATTTATTTGTAATTCATTTATGAAGAGCTTAGTACAGACAGGTAAAATAAAAGAAAGTGGACACATATGCATTTGCATACACATGCTGAGTTTTGTGTGCTTACAAAAGCATTAGGTTCAGTTGTAAGAAATAATTGGAAGGTGTATATTCGGTTGCATCTCTTTGTGTGTGAGCCTTTGTTTCCTTTACACAGGTAACTGTTCAAGGGGAAAAATTTTAAGATATGTCACAAATGAAGAAACTCAAAATGAGAAATTCACATTTCACACAGCTAAACAAACAGCAGTGATAGACTTCTTCTCTGAGTGCATGCAAGCCTTCCTAATATAAACCATTCCACTGCCACAGGCTAAGGTCTCAGCTGTCACAGATATACATCACTCAGGCATGGCGTTCTCTCTAAAAGGTTTCCACTAAACTGCAACTTGTCTGTTTGACTTCCAGCAGGAACCATGTTCAGGTATTCGCTGCTGAGGGGCCGGGCTCTCCACTGATGCAGTAGTTCAGAGCCTGTCGGGTTTAAGTTGGCACAGGCCTCCTGTGTTTCGGCAACGGGGTCTCTGAAAACTTCTCTGGCTATGAGTTTCTTATACGAGAGGCGTGGCGGTGTGGCTAATGGGCTGGAGAACGTTCCCTAGGTTAGATTTATGTCTCAGCAATGCCATGTTCAGCTTGGCTGTGAGAAAGGCCAGGTGTGGGAGATGGGAAATACATAGTCTATATATTGTTGAGAACTATTTTTCCCAATCTTTCTTGCATGGAAACTTTATAAAACAGTGGTCGCATTGTGTAACATTTTAGTTTGCTTGTGCAGATGCTCTCATGTCACTTAGAAACAAAACACTTGGTTGAAACTGTAGTTGGACTTAAACATGTTTCCTTAGGTGCTTGTCCAGCTCAGAGATGGGAATTTTAAGTAACTGCTGTAGGTGAATGTTGGAAATTCATAAACCAGCAGAGCCCCCACAGCCTCACAGCTTGACTGCAGATCCAGTCTCATAGAGTCTCACTGTCATTTGTGTCAGTCTATTTTTGGGGGTGACATGGCTGCAGTAATCTGTGCTGCAACATATAGTACTGTAGTTCTTTATCTTCTGTGGCAGCAGGTCATAATTTAAATCTGGATTTAAAGTGAACACATACATGCATGATTTTTTTCACATTTAGTTTAGAAGCCAGTCAGTGGCCAGTGTGTTGTGGAAACTTGAAACCCCCACATATACTAAATGGACTTTTCAGTGAAGTGATATTTAAATATTCATAGATTCTGGATTTTTCAATGAAGCAGAAAACGTGACAGATTAACTCTAAAAGTGCGTACTTTTTGATAAATCAAGTGGAAAGAGAGGCAGGACATGGTGGCTCTTTGGGATGGATGGAGTGTGTTAAAAGCTGCCACAGGACTCAAATTCATTATTCCTTCTGCATTTGTTAGCATCTAAAGCTAATGTGTTTGTTTTTGGTAACATTAGCAACTTAGCATGGCCATGATTTTATTTTTGTGTTGAATTAATGTGATTTTAATTTGAGAGTAATTCGAGCTTTGTGTAATGTTAGTAGTGCTCTGTATGACATCTGCAGTAACCAGAGCATCTTACTAGATTTACAAGCAGGCATCTGTAGTTTACGTTGTTGCTAACAAGACATGATGAGGAGAGCAAAGAGCGTTTGTTTTGAGTCTCACTAGGCCCTATTGTGTCTGAAAAGAATTTAGGTAGAGTAGCTAATTATTTTTCAACTTTTGTGGAAAAATATCTCAGACAAATTGTTAGTGTTTACAGCAGTGTGTTGTTTATAGGGTATGACTTCTGTAACTGATTGTGAGAATTTTTATATCAAATAAGTTTCATTTGTTGTGAATTGTTTGTGTGAGCTTACAGATAGACGGAGGCAAAAGTACAAGTCAAGTATCTCATGTTAATAAGAAGTGATGGGTTGCACTACCATTATTTCTCCGATCATAGTGACTTACTTGTTTTATCCACAAAACTGCTGATCCATGGCCACAGCAGCCAACAAATATGGTGGCGTAACCACCATATTTATCTGTATATGACATTAATACACAATCCTTTAAACTGCATACACTTTGTGAAACTCTACTGGCACTTGTGGGCATATTGCTGTGCACTTTCATGTCCACCAGAATTTGAGAAATCACTCACTTGTGGACAAGCCTTCAGCTGCTGTTCCTGCTATGATCCATACAGGCAGATATTACTTGATGGGGGTCTCTCTACCTCTGACAAACGAGACACCACACACTCTGTATTGTATGTGACACCTGATTTTTATGTATAGCTTTAAATTGGTTTCACATGAGGCAGACACACACAGCATCAGCAGAGTCTCTGATCAAATTAAGCAGAGATGAGAGGAGAGAAAAAAACAGCGGTTGTACTGATGTATAATTCAATAAACAGGACGAAGCGGGGCAGACTGGGGGAAGCTGTACTGCCTTCATCTCTCAGCTCAATATCTGGTTTGGCCATGGATAGTTAACCCATGAGTGACAGACGTGCAGGAGTACGCCTACATCTATCATCACTGCAACAGCTGACAGAGTACAGATGCATATGAGCATGGATATTTATATGTTTGTGCCATATATATGATGTCATAGCTGAAACAACCAGGCAGTTCATCAATTAGCTGAACAGAAAATAGTTTGATAATGAACTGTTTTAGTCCATTTTAGAGACAAAAACACCATGTCGTCTGCGGTAGGATAAAGCGAGCCTTTTGAAGATGTCCCCTTGTGGTCTGGGAAATTATGATGGTCATATTTGTTTACAGTCGGACATGTTAGACAAAACAATCAAGAATCAGAATCAAACTTTGAAAAATAATCATATATATATATGTATATCACTGCCAAGAATTAGCAAGGTAGAAAAGGTCAGGCTGAATCCTCCTGAA